ATATGTATTACTGCAATGTTTCTTTGGGTTGAGTTAAACTTGCTTTACAAAAATCTCAGGTTTGCATTTTTCAAGATGAAAACAAGAACTTTTAAGGTCAAAAGCAAACTCTGTTTTTACCAAAATAATAAAAAAAATATTTATATCACTTTCATTAAAGTTTGACGGTCTTGGCACAAATGTTTTGTTACGTGAATGAATGTATATTTTTTCAAACAGAAAGTGCAGCAGTTTCATATAACCTGTAGAGGGCAATACTGTATCTGCAAACTTTAAAATATAATATTCGGATAGTCCTCTTTGCCTTCCTTATGCAAAGCATTAGTTTCACATAAAGGTGATATTTTCAAGCTAACAACATACAAGCTTTTATCTTGCAAAGTGAGAATTGTCTACACTGATACAAAGTAAGAATAGAGTGAAACAAATCAAAACCACATAGAGTTGAAATGTTTTCTGAAAGCACACTGGAAGTTAACCTGACGGTTGTTGTGTTGTGAGATGCACTGACAACTTCTCTGATGTGTGGGTGGAGGAAGGTGAGACATGCCTAATACCTGCACAGTTCTTAAGGGCATATGATGTTGAGACAAGTTTGTTTGGATGCTGTCACAGAAACCTTAACATGGAATATCATTTCAGCAGTTCAGTGATTTAGATATGAGCACTCACATGCTATAAGACACCCACTACAAAAAAGCTGTGCTCGTGCATCAATCACTCATGTTTCAGCTTTAGCCGTTTGCTTCTTTCCACACTGTTGGATTAAGAAGCCGTCACGTGCTTAGGGGAATGTACAGACTGTACAAACACACGTCAGTAGGTGCTGAACTGGTAAAGAGTGGTTATGTAACTTTTTTTTAAAAAATCTGGTGGGTGGGGGTGTTATCAGGTAATGATTTCCATTGACTATCTCCTAAACAGTTACTTTAATCTATGGGAGTACTTCACTCTCTTGCTCCCTGTATAGTTTCAAGTGGGTGTCACTATCACAGCTCAAGCTGCAGACAAAGAACAGAACAAACCAAGAGGCCATTAATGGTGGGAAAAAAGGATGATGTCCACTTACTGTATCAGAGCAATCTTTTTGAGAGAGATAATTCAGGGCTGCAGACCTAATCAGACCTCTGAGAAGCTTTCCTGCACACCCATTTCTTACAGATAATGTGAGAAACCAGAAATGCTCATCTTTTGACTGTAACTGTGGGTTGGTGAGTGAAGTAAACTGAATTATAAAGACTTGATTTGTCCTCTTATGTGTTTGGCATTTAATTGAAGAAAAATGTCACTGCCAATTTTTGATATTTCTTTTGAAATGTTACTAAGCACACATACAAAAACGATTAAGGGGTACTTCAGTCACACTAAAAAGGAGAAAACCCGTCAGCTTGTACTTTAATTACCACTAAGTTTATTACCAAAAAGTAGCTAATTCAGCTAATTATTATCCTGTTCAGATATGCTGCTGTACGTTCGTCAAAAAACTATTAAAGCTGCACCTTCTTGTAATTGCAGCAAATAATGAACAGGTACAGCATCTGAAAACAAACCTTCATATTTAATTATCTTGTGATTGCTTTATTTTGACATGACATATGTTAGTTTTTTTTTTTTATAATAAAATACTAAAAAGTACCTGTGGCATAAGTTCAGGCAGGCTCCCAAAAATGTAAAGTGCAAAGCCACAAGATTGTGCCAGAAGAAACATTCCATTAACCCAAGGTATTTAAGCCTTGTGACTCATTTTCCCTTGACATCTTCACAATTGAAGACATCCACACAATAATGTCAAAATAAGGTCTCAATAATGATCAAATGTGATTTATATTTTCAAGCATCACTAAGTGACTATATAATTTTATTGATTAGGGTAAGGAACTTTGAAAACCTTATTGAGCTCCTCGCACCACCTCCACCACCTTTATTCTGTGATTTTAATAGTGCTGTCAGAAAACAAAATGCACAGAAAAAAAAGTCTTCAGTCCTGAACAACACAAGTATCCAGGCTAATTAAGTTGAAGGAAAAACACAACACACCAAGTATATTAGAAATGTGCCTTCCAATGGCCTAGAGGAATTATCTCAGCTCTGTCAACTACAGTTAAATCCAATTTAATCAAGAAAACAAAAGATAGAGGAATTTTAGGTGCAACCTCTCTGGAATGCAGCTGTGTCTCAGTTCAATCTGCTGTCATGCCGTCTCCCAGTAGTAAAAACATTTTTTTATTACATGGAATGAGATTAAGTTTGCTGCCATGTGTCTTTGACAACCTCAATCCATGTGTTGACACAAGTTTACTAGTAAACAGCAAAAATCCCATACATGTTCATGATTGCTCTTGCCACCTCTATTTATTATTATGGACCAGAGTATTCCTCTTGTGCTAGTCATGCGTTTGGAATTTTGACACATAGGCACATATTAGTTCATACAAATTCCAATATTTCTTTGAATGTGGGTTAAATCAGCTTTTATACATAATATATAAACTATATTCAACTGTTTTTTGAAGATTCTTTCAGCTTCTTTCGGTTTTTCCCTCTTCAGGGGTCACCACAGCGAGTCATCCTCCTCCATCTCACTCTGTCCTCTGCATCCTCTGTCCTCACTCCAACTACCTCCATGTCCTCTCTAACTGCATCCATATATCTCCTCTTTGTCTTTTTCCTGGCAGCTGCATTTCTAACATCCTTCTGCCAATATACCCACTGTCCCTCCTCTGGACATGTCCAAACCATCTCAGTCTGGCTTCTCTAACTTTATCTCCCAGTTATTCAAGCTATGTTGTACCTCTGATGATCTCATTCTTAATCTTATCCATCCTTGTCACTCCTAAAGAGAACCTCAATATCTTCATTTCAGCCACTTCCAGTTCTTTGTTCTATGTTTTTGTCAGTGAAACTGAAGACAGCAAACTACAACATAGCTGGTCTCATAATTGTCTGTCACAACTTTTCCTTTGACCTTTGCTGACACACTTTTGTCACAAATCACTCCTGAAACTAAACTTTTTTCCATCCACTCAATCCTGCCTGGATTCTCTTTTTTTATACCTCTTTACCACATTCCCCATTTTTCTGGACAGTGGACCCAAGTACTTGAATTCCTGCACCTTTGTGACCTCTGCTCCTTGTAGCCTCACTGTTCCACCGGCCTCCCTCCATTCACACACATGTACTCTGTCTATACGGCTGATTTTCATTCCTCTTCTTTCAAGTGCATACCTCCACCTCTCCAAGTTCCCTTCCACCTGTTCACTGTTCTCACCACAGATCACAATGTAATCTGCAAACATCATAGTTCATGAGGATTCCTGCCTGATCTCATCTTTTAGTCGGTCCATCACCAGAACAAACAAGAAGGGGCTCAGAGCCGATCCTTGATGCACTCCCACCTCCACCTTGAAGCTCTGTCACTCCTACAGCACATCTCACCACTATCCTGCTGTCCTCATACATGTCCTGTACCAGTCTAACATACTTCTCTGCCACTCCAGATTTCCTCATGCAATACCACACCTCCTCCCTCTGTCTGCACTCTGTCATATGTTTTTTCTAAATCCACAAAGGCATAATGGAGTTCTTTCTGGCCCTCTCTGTACTTCTCCATCAGCATTCTCAAAGCAAAGACGGCATCTGCAGTGCTCTTTCTCGGCATGAAACCATACTGCTGCTCACAAATTGTCACCTCTCATTTAAG